CGGTTCACCAAAAGTACGAAAAACTATTTAGGCTGAAGGCCTAAACATGCCGGCCCCCTTGCGATAAGCAACTTCTACAAACTTGACCGCGTCTCAGCTATCAGGCGCACTTGTTCGGTTGGAAGAATCGAAAAAAATTTTAATCTAGAAATATTCATTTGCATTCCAGCAGCAGCTCCGGCGTCCAACAAGTTCGTCCTTCTTTCTTTGTAGCTACTACAGGAGTGAAATTGAAAAAGGGGATTAAAGAAATAGACGTGGTTACTATTCAAATGCACTTTATTCACGACTTATTTTATATTTATATAAAAATTCATTGTTTTTTTTCCATAGAAATAAAATCCATTTAAACAAAATTTTTAAAACAAAATTATAGCTATAATAAAATTTCATTTGGAAAAAGATTATGCTCTGCAGACTCCGGAAAGCACCCATCCAAAGATGGTGCTCTGAGCCAGCAGAGGCCCGAAGGTATTCGGAAGAATGCCGGGTAGCAGAATATCGGCGTATACGTCGGTGCCGAGTACCAGGCGTATCGGCGCGGACTCGTAAAATTTGGGATCCGCTAAACGGATATGTGCGTATGTTGCTGCGACCGTTGGATCTACACTGCTACTTGGCGATACTCGGTGGAAATGGGGCGTAACCACGGCATGGGTCGCAACTCGTTTATTTTGGCCGTATTTCCCTCGGAGACATACGAGACTGCCCGTTTGCTCGCCGACTCGTGTTTGCATGAGCCGTAGCTCGCGGGCCAGATCCGCAGATACAATTGTCGTTGGAGCGCATACGTCAATAAGCGCGCGGATTAAATGCAAGCGCCCTCCCGCCTCAATTTTGACCACGGCCGTCGGAGGAATAGCTACCATCGGGCGGAAGGTTGGCCCTACAATGGGGTTTTTCGCCGATAACCCATTACGGAACGCGCTTGGTCGTGATAGCTGGCGAGGCCTAGTCGCCAGTCTATCTTCATATGCGGATGGCGATGGGTTGCGCGAAGATCGCTGCAGGCGAAAAGACCGAGTTTCCGCTCTGCAGTCTCGGTGGCGTCGCTGATGCGTTCGCTGTCGTTGGTGTGGTCGCTGTCGCTTGTGCGGTCGTTGGCGCTTATGCGGTCGTTGATGATCGCGCTCGTGTTGGAGTAAAGGTCGGAAAGACCTAGTTTCCGGTACCCTTGTAGTAGTCAGGTGGAGAGGCCGAGTCTCCACTCCGAACTCTATAATCTCGCCCTCTTCAATATCTGGACGGAGAGGCCTGGTCTCCGTTCCAGAATCAGACGCGTATAGCGAGATCGCCGCCTCATAGCTATTGCGCTCTTCTTCTTCGACTTGGACGCTCCAAGGCTTTTGTGCTTCGTCTGCGGGTCGTCGAGCTTCACCGAGGTGAAGCGTAGTGTGGTGCTTCTCACCGCATCGACGGCATCGTCCTTCGCTGGCACATCGTTCGGTTGCGTGATCTGTGGCTAAACAATTTCCACAGTATCGACCAAGTAGCGCTTCTCTTAACCTTTCTTCAGGTGTTTTCGCGCGAAAAACCGGGCATAGCCTAATTGGGTGATTTGCGTCACATAAGTGGCACGGCACGACGAAGCGATGGGCATTCTTTGCGGCGTTTCGCTTTACTGCACTGAAGCGGGTCATGGTTGTCTGAAATACGCTTTTTTTTTATTTAGGTGCCTCAGTTAAGTTATATTTTTTTTTTTTTTGTACGTTGTTGTTGGGTAGCGAGCGATTAAATATATAAAAGTAAAACGGATCGGCGAGAAAGTTTCGTTTTCCTTTTGCAAATCTTAAATTTTACGATCTAAGCAGGGCGTTCTTGGGCATATCGAAATTGGAAACTGGCACGTGTAAACGCAGAATTACCCATGTATTGTGGTTGATGGGTCCCACCGGTGCTATATATTTTCCTATGCAGGGTTGTACCGGAAGACAAAAAAAATAAATGTCGCCCTGACATTATGACAATTCTAACAAATTTCAAAGGCAACATGAGAAAGTGTCAAACTGAGGGCATTCGCAAGAAATTTGTTTTTGTTCTTCAAATTGATGGCTTAAATTCTGCCAATGTAAAACAAAACTTTCTTTGTACTTTGGAGACTTTTGTTTAGCCAAGATCGACACCCAGCAGCCTGGGGAACGTATGCTGGATCCGCCGTGGAACGTATGCTGGATCCGCCCATTGATGAGATTGTTTGTGCGCATCCGAAAGTACTCTATTACTTGGGCTTGGAAACTCGCGATTTTATGCAAGCTTATCGCCAACAATCACAATGCATACAATCTGTTGTGAAAATGTTGCAACAGTTGAAGGAGGAGAACTGGTGTCTTCCCATAATGTACCCAACCTGCTTGGATTTGCGAATATTAGCGCAAAAATGCGAAGAACTTGGCAGCAGCAGCAAGCCGGGGGAAATTCTTGAGAAGGCCGCAGACTGCTTAATGAGCTGTTTCCGTGTATGTGCCGCAGATAATAGTTTCTCAGTAAGTATACTCTTCACCCATATTTCAGCATCGTTTAATTCGCAATTCATATACACAGTGGACCAATCAGCACGCGGTCTATGAATAAGTCCATCGTCAATGGGATTTAACGATAAACAATATTCCGAGCTAAAAGAAACACGCCCACCGTTCAATTGGAAACCCTTGTGCAGGGCATGAGACATCCAGTATAGTACTTGGAAACGATGCAAACTCATTTGCAAGTTTGCTTTTTTGTAATGTCGACTGAGTTGCTTTTTTCGAGGGCGCACATTACTAAATACCGGCCCGCGTCGGGTTGGACGGGTAACGCCTGATAGAATCAGCTTAACCAAGCTGGGAATGTCGATTTCCACCTCCTCGCCAGGCTTCGGTTTTGTTTCAAAAGAAATCCAAATATTCAAGTTAAGTGAACGAAATGCACGGAAGGAATCATGAACCTGGTTGCTGGAATATTCTGGCAGCTTGTCCGGCGCACAAGGCATAACCGCGTGATGATCGTTTGGATTCGCCAAACAAACCCAATTCAGCTTAAAGGTCAATTTCAAGTTAGGAAAGTGTAATAGACGGCAATCATCGTAACGCGATGCGGTACGTACTGTAATATTTAATTCGCCTTTGAACATAAGAAGGACAACCTCGAACGTTTTGACCTACTACAGTTTCATGAACTTGCTGTCGCTCTAAAAGAGGGCCATGTTCGCAAATTCGACGAAGCTATACAACGTCATGAGATATTCTTCATCAAATGCGGCATTTATTTGTTGGTTGAAAAATTGAAATTCATTGTCTATCGCAATCTCTTCAAGCGTGTGTACATAATCAAACAGACGCATCAATTAGATTTGCGGGCATTTCAAGCGGCATTGCAATTTGTCGGCGAAACAGATGTGAGCATCGATGAAACGCATTGCATAGTGGTTACTTTGATTTTTGAGGGTAAAATCAAGGGCTACATCTCATACAGTCACAACAAGTTGGTGGTGTCCAAGCAGAATCCTTTTCCACCACTTAATACGGTTTCCTAGGAGCGGCTGATGCGTGGTGCAGAGGCTCACGGACCAGGATCTTTAAGTTATTTATAAAGCATTTACATAGTACATACATACATACTATACATACATGGTACGCTAATAAATTGTATTTTATTTTATTTTTAGAAACTGTAAGATATGCATGTTAATGCTATAGTTAGATTTTGTGAACTCATGATTATGACTTGCGCAAGTGTAAGAAAGAAACAATTCAAATAAATAAGAAGACTTCTTATTTCCCATAGCGGAAATGCAACATGTTAAAAAAATCTTCAGCAATGGATGACGGCACTGAACTATGTCGCCTATGTTTGCGTCATGACAAATCAATTGTGAATATCTTTGAGCAGGAGTCTCCACAGTCAGCACAAAAAACGCCACCAACCGTTGGAGCAGAGAAAAGAATGCCAATGGTGGAACGGCTGTATGACTTGTTAGGTGTTAAGTTTCAGCAATCAACGTTGTTGCCTAGTAACATCTGCCAGCGCTGTTTTGCAATGGTTGAGGCGTTTTCCGCTTTTCGCGAAAATGTGCAAAGAATTGAGACTGAGTTGCAGAGTTGGGTGGAACGCCAAAATAGAAGAACGGCAGATTGCGTGGATCAACGTCCGGGTCTTAATGGCAACCCAGGCACATTTGAGCCTGAAGATAATTGCATAATAACTGAAGTGAACCCCAATCAAGATTACGAAAGTTCAGAGGATGATTTTTCTATGGAATCGGATTCGGAGGGCGAAGAGCATTCGGCTTCATCACCACACGCCTTGCAAATGCAAACTTCTACAAATGACACGCATCAATTATCGCAGCAACCGACAAATGAACCAAACGATTCGCTATCGGCAACAGTTCCTATGACCACAGAGGAACAGCAAAACACCGACAACTCTATGCCTGCGTCCGAAGCACCAACTGCTTTTCCCAACATGCTTGGTAGCGACTCATTTATTGCCGGAGAAATTGTGATTGAAAACACCTTCCTTTGCCAGTATTGTGATATGGCATTTACAACGCAACCACTGCCAAGAGCATGAATCACAACACGACAGTGCCGCACCCTATGTCTGCAGCTTTTGTTCACAACGCACATCAAGTCGTCAGAATTTAATATACCATATCAAGGAACTACATGATCCTGAGCGGCCATATGTATGTGCATTCTGCAAAAAGGGCTTCTGCCGGCGTTCGGATTTGAAAAAAAAACTTTTCTCGTAATACCAATTTAACAAAACACATACGAATTCATAGCAGCGTAAAACCACATGTTTGTACGCGTTGCCCACGATCCGTTTCAAGCGCGACAGATCTGATGCGACACATTCGTACACATACAAACTCAAAGCCATTCCAATGTAGTCTTTGTCCAAGTACTTTCGCACGCAAAGATAAACTGCAGGAGTACATACCTATGTACCTTTGCCCAGGTGAGGACTTAGCATCACACCTTAATCCGCAGGTGAGTGGTAAATTTAACGTGATACCATGTGTTAATAATTTCTGTAAACTCGATTTAGGAACCGAACCTTCTGTCTAAATGGAAACGGCAGTTGACATATACGGGTTGCAACGAGATTTTTTATCTAATGGTCAGACTTCGAGGGTCTCTGCTATGTGTAGGTGAGTGATGAAAAGATTTTCATATGATTTATTGAATAAGTTGTTAGAAACCCAGGCGAGTTGATATAGGGTGGTGTTGTGTTTTTGTTGTTGCCCCTTTTTTTATATTTCAAATACGCTTGTAGGCAATTGTGAACATTTTTTCGACAGTATATATTGAAATATTGTCGGCAATGGGCTGGCAATTGTCACTCTGACAAAATTGTCGCCACAGTAGCGAAAAAAACTAAATAGCCGCGTCGGCGAGCTTAGTGAATTTATTTATATGGTAGTTTCGCGCATTTCGTTACCTTTTTACTTTTATTTTTAATGTTTCTCAAAACTAAAATAAAGCGCAAATGCAATTATTACATATGAATTTCATATAAATTTCATATGACTGGCGTCAATTTTTTACCGATAATTTTAAACCCGACAATGACACTTTTTCACATTTTCAATGGAATCTCTCATGAGGTATAGAAGTGGAATTTGTATGGGTACTGACGGAGTGGAATATTGATGTAGTTGGTGTCTCGTTGAGAGGGTTAGGTAATCCTATAAGGGGTAGAATCAAGAAGCATTCGGTGGCTTCTCAATTCTCTCGTTGTACGGTGGCAGTAGGATAAGTTTTGCCAGCGGTCGTGTTACCTGACCCTTCTCGGTGGTGATGTCCACCACACGCACGGTTGTCGGAACCGGGGTGCAGGTTGATTACTCTGCCTAATCTCCATTCGTTAGGCGCTAAATTGTCCTCTCTTATAACGACGAGATCACCAATCTCCATATTCTGCTTTGGATTTTTCCACTTAATTCGCTTCTGTAGTTCGGATAGGTATTCTGACTTCCATCGCCTGCAAAAGGTTTGATGTAAAGCCTTTAATTTCTGCCACCTATTTATTATGGAGGCTGGGTTTTCATTTACATCTAATTCCGGTGGCGCGAGTAAATGACCGCCTGTGAGGAAATGACCGGGAGTTAGAGGCTCCAAGTCAGTTGGCTCGTTCGATGAGGGACTTAACGGTCGCGAGTTGAGACAAGACTCAACTCGGCATAATAAGGTACTGAGCTCCTCAAAGGTGTATTTGTGGGTGGATGCAATCTTTTTGAAGTGGTTTTTGAAACTTTTTACACCCGCCTCCCACAGTCCGCCCATGTGAGGAGCTGCTGGGGGTATAAAATGCCATGTAAGTGTTTGATGACTATATTTCGATATGGTTTTATCACGCGCTTCTGCTATGAACGCCTTCATTTCAGATCGTAATGATCGAGAAGCTCCGACAAAATTGGTGCCGTTGTCGGAGTACATGTTTTTCGGACATCCTCTTCTACCAACAAACCTAGCGAATGCTGCCAGAAAGGATGGGGTGCTGAGATCGCTTGTCGCTTCCAGGTGAATTGCCTTAGTCGTAAAACAAACGAAAAGGCAAACGTAGCCTTTGGAAATGCGGCAACCGCGGCCGCGATAGCTCTTAATCTCAAAGGGCCCGGTAAAATCGACACCTGTGTTTGTAAACGCACGCGAGAATGTTGTGCGTTCTTTCGGTAGGTTACCCATAAGTTGGGTTTGTGACCGTTTCTTATGGATAGTGCAGACTTTGCAGTTGTGGATGACGGACCTGATCATGTTTTTGACTCGGGGAATCCAATATTGCGTCCTAATGAGACGCAACATTAGTTGGTTTTCCCCATGCAGAGAAATCTCATGGACAAACTGGACAAGAAGGCGAGAAAATCTACAATCGTGTGGAAGGATAATTGGATGGCGCTCATTATAGGCCAGATCTTGAGACGCGCCGAGGCGACCACCCATCCTCATGATATCATCTCTATCGAGAAATGGATTAAGGGGCAAAACTTCACTCTTCGCATCGATGGATTCCCCGGATTTCAATTTACTATACTCCTCAAAGTAATGTTGCTTTTGACAGATTTTTATCAAGCGTTGAGTCGTTGTTTTAATTTCATCAGCGGAAATTAAAGAAGTCTCGGCTCGAAACGAAGCTCTTGTTTTTGGATGGGTTCTTTGAAAAAATCTTATAATATATGATAAAACTCTCAAAGCCCTAGGCAATCCTGAAAATCTATCTAAAATATTAGTTGCATTATGTATTTTAGTTGCTGCGTGCACATGCACCCTCTTTTCCTCGACTATTGTGTTGTAGTTTGCCTCTTGTACAGGCCATTTAGTTTGGTCTTCTTGTAACCAAGAAGGTCCCTGCCACCACAAGGGATTGTCAACCAATTCGTAAGCAGGCAGTCCTCGGCTGGCTAAATCTGCTGGATTTGATGCCGAATCCACATGCAGCCAGTTCTTGTTACCAACTTTTTCTACTATTTTTGTTATCCTGTGGGCGACAAAGGTCGACCACGAACAAGGCGGCTTTCGTATCCACGCGAGAACGATTGTTGAGTCCGTCCACAGGTGTGCTTTTAAATGTCCCAAGTCAAGATTTCTCAGAACCGTCTCGATGATTTCTGCAAGCAGTACGGCGCCGCAAAGTTCCAATCGAGGTAATGAGATAGTCTTTACTGGAGCTACTTTTGTTTTTGCCAAAAGTAGACTTACGAAAACTTTTGCATTTTGTGTAACGCGCAGATATACAGCAGCCGCATACGCTTTTTCCGATGCGTCACAGAAGCCATGTACTTCGACGTCATCTGTTGGTGAGAAATGTACCCATCGAGGTATTCGTATGTTATCGATCTCATGGTAATGTTGTGTAAAATTTTTCCAGCGATCCAGGGTAGTTGGAGTTACGGTTTCATCCCAGTCCGTGCCTTCCAGCCAAATACCCTGCATTAGTATTTTGGCTACGATTATGATGGGCGCGAGCCACCCCAGGGGGTCGAAAAGTTTGGCGATAGCTGATAATATCGCCCTTTTCGTTGGATTATCGCTTTCTTCTAATGGTCTCGCCATAAAATAGAATAAATCCGTATGGGCGTTCCATCTTATGCCGAGAGCCTTCACTGCGCTAGTTTCTTCGAATTCAAGAAAATCTTCGGTTAGTAGATTCGTTTTTGGAATGTCTTTCAGTAAATCTTCGCAATTGGCAGTCCATTTTCTTAATGGAAAGCCGGCTGACTCTAACACTTGGGTTATTTCATCTCTGGCATTTATCGCAGAGTCAATGCTGTGTCCTCCCGCTAGAACGTCGTCGACGTACATGCATCTTCGTAAAATATTGGATGCTATCGGAGAGGAGTTTTCCACATCATCAGCTAGTTGTAAAAGTGTCCTTATTGCCAAGTAAGGAGCACAGTTAACCCCGAAAGTGACCGTCTTCAGCTCGTAAAGACTGATCGGTTCGTTCGTATTGGTACGAAAAACTATGCGCTGGAACTTAGTGTGATTGTCATGCACCATAATTTTCCGGTACATCTTCTCGATGTCGCTGTTGAAGACGTATTTATATAATCTCCAACGTAGGATTAATATGGGAAGATCCGCCTGGAGTACTGGTCCTGGGAGCAGTACATCATTGAGGCTTACACCATTTGCCGTCGGACTTGAGGCATTAAAAACCACGCGAAGTTTTGTTGACGTGCTTTCTGCCTTGATGACCGCGTGATGAGGCAGGAAATAGTTGTCGGAGGACTCTGCTGGTATATTATTTATTAGCTTTGACATATGCCCTAACGATTCGTATTCCGATAATACCCTGTTATATTCCTTTTGTAGTCCAGGATCCTTGGCCAATCGCGTCTCGTGTCGGAAAAATTGTGAGCACGCTCTTTTTAGGGAGGGTCCTAGGCAGACATTCTCTGGAAAATCCTGCCTGAATGGTAGCGAAACTACATATTTCCCGTCTTGGGTACGTTGAGTTGTATTCTTGTACAACTCCTCACAGTACTTGTCTTCCTCACTTAGGCTTTTGCTTTTCGGCAGATCCTCTACTTCCCAGAACGCAGTAAGCTGCTTATCCAAGGCGACTTCGCTAAAGTATGAAGCAATATGGTTGGTTGCACTTGTTGCATCTGGACGGCCGGTTAATATCCAACCGAACACGGTTTCTTGGGCTAGAAGAGTATTAAGTACATTTTTCTTCAAGCCGCTCAAAATGATTTCTGGATAAATATCTCCTCCAAGCACAAGGTCCACTTGCTCATTAACAAAGAACCTTTTATCGGCCAAAACCAAATCTGGGAATGCTTGTTTAGTTTCTGCGCTAATATGGGTAGTTGGAAGATTTCCAGTTAGTTGTGCTAGGACAAGCACAGTGGTATTCGACCGGAATAATGGGTCAATCGGTGACCGTATTTCTATATTGCATGCTTCTTTGACCTGCGCCGATATGGAATTTGTGATGCCGGAAACTTGGGCATGCAACCTTTTGGATGGCAGGTTGATTCGGCGTTTGAGTCTTTCCGTTATAAAAGAACACTCAGACCCGGAATCAATAAGAGCTCTTGCAGAAAAATCGGTTCCATTATAATGTATATTTACGCGCGCTGTTCCTAGGAGCACACCAGTATTTGAATTTGCAAAACAAGACTTGACATTTTTGTCCCCAGTTGAATTTGGTTTTCCTGTCTTGCGTCTTGTTTGTGCTTGCTTCGATGAAGATGCTCGATTACCAGTTGAGCTTGGCGGCATTTGGTGCGCTGTAGGCTTTTGCTGGTCAGTCTCAAGGTGCAGGAGCGTGTGGTGTCGGGAGTGGCACTTGCTGCAATTAAACGAGCATGTGCATCTTGACACAGTATGTCCAGACTTAAGACAGTTCAAGCAAGAGTTATTGTTTTTCATGAACTCTATTCTTTCAGATGGTGTCATCTTTAAGAAGCGGGAGCAGCTGCGTAACTTGTGCTCATTGGACTGGCACATTATGCAAGTGAACTTGGTCACGCTTGCTTGGAAAACGCCAAGTCGTTTTGGGGAGGCTTCTGCTGGTTTGTGTGTGTGCTGCGGCTTTGGCGCTCTCACAGCTTTGGAATTTTTTAAGCCTGATAAAGTCTCCAGAGTTTGAAATCTGTTGGATAGGAACTTGTCCATATCCTCCCACTTTGGTATATCATTTTTGTGGTCTATGGTTTGTTCCCATAGAGCCAGCGTACTTTCTGGAAGTTTGGTGGAGCAGAGGTAGACTATAATTGCATCCCAGTTTGAAACGTTAATTTGGTGACTGTTTAGGGACGATAAGCAATTATTTATATCCCGCTGCAACCTTTTTATTGAGCTACCACACTCATTATCCACTGAATTTAAATTGAAAAGTATTTTCAGTTGTGTATTTACGAGGATACGCTTGTTTTCATATCTCTCGCATAAACTTTTCCAGGCTGCTTGGAAGCCTTCGTTTGTGAGTGGACACTTTCTCACGATGTCTTTGGCTTCCCCTTGAGTCTTTTGGTTGAGATGAAATAGTTTCTCAACCGGAGTGAGGCGCTTGTTAAGGATGTATATGGCCGTGAACATATCACGAAATGATGGCCATGACAGATAGTCACCCTTGAACACATCGGTATCACACTGAGGTAGGTGGATATTGTGTTCACGGACCGACTGATCCTGTACATCCTTTTCTGCGTTAACAAGCGTTTCGGACTGACTCGCCATGGCAGACATGCATTTAACATAGCTAGCGAACGAGCTTTTATGTTTTCTCCTTATGGCCTTAATGTCTTCTTTCGACAACCCTTCTCTGTTTATTATAGTATCATACCCTTGTTTAGTTTTTTCCCACATATCTTTCAGTTCGTCTTGCTGTATTGCAAGACCATGTTTATTTTGCTCTGCAGGTGGCGTGCTGCTAAAATCGGATTCAAATTCGATTATTGCCTCTGCCAAACGAATGAACGACTCCATATTTAAAAATGGTACTTGAATTAAAATCAATCACAGATAAATTCGACGATGTGCTTTAATATGTGATAGCAACCTTACTCTTAAACAAAAATAAATGCTTAGATTATCGAATTTGTTCGCCAAGTATTCAATAAACGAAAGTTTCTGCCGCTGAAAAAGATACCAACTCTTGTGGTCGAAACGCCAAACAAAGGATATAATTTCCGGAATTGAAGAAGTAGCCGTTAAATTTATATATAAAATAGTTATGGTAAAACTTTATTTAACTCAATATATTTCTCTCTTTCAATTATCAGGGATTGGTATATATAAAGCTGTATATATGCTGTATATATAAAAAAGTGACTCGCCACCCAACTGCTATTAAGTATGTGTGTAATTTGCAAATACGTTCACAAGACAATAATAATACTCGCAAATTAATACTGCAAGGGATCCACACGCAGAAGTGATTTTGTGAAGAAAGTGCAATTGTTAAAGGCAAATTACCGTGCACGTTTCAAACAAAGAGGTTATGTGTCCTCCGACGATCAGTGATTATAATGTGGTTCGCGAATTTATTGCAACTATTGCCGCACAAGTAATAATACGTTTTACTAACAATAAAAATTAAATCCGTGGTGAAGTAATCAAAAGACCGGCAGAGTCAATTACATATATTACAAATGAATTGCAACTGATAACCTCTTTTCACTGTCGTTTATGTGTGTATGTGTGTGTATCTTCAATTGTCTGTTACCAGCCGTGGACAGACAGAATCGGTTCGGGAAATTATTTGAACTAATTGAATTAAACAAATGATATCAACGCAACTGAAAATTAATTGACTGCAATTGAAAATGTGCACTTTGCAACCAATCTGAGCCGTCTTTGTCACTCGCGGACAGACGGAATTAGCTCGTTTGGTAATTTTAAAAGCTATGCACAAATTTTCGCTCCTCACAAAATCACCCGCGTGAATCTCGTTTGCAATTGCGTGTGTTTTCTATGCAATATAAATATAGCACAATTGCTCACAAAATAAATAGATTTATGATGTTTTATTTTTTTTTTGTTTTTTGAAAGTGCACTTGAATATGTGTGTAACCACGTACCTTGTTTCGTCGGTGACTTTGGTGTGAGGAAGCTCAATAGAAAGTGGTATTTGTTGATTGATGCACAGGTGCACTGTATTTCTGTGGTGGACTGTATTTCTGGTTTCGCTGGTACTGCAATGGTCACACGGTCCCAAAATGGCGCTTTATGAATATATTTAGTGTTAGTCGGACGGCTCCGAAAGGACCAAAATGTAAAACCCCGGGCGTCGCAAGATTCGCAATTGGACGCACCAGTGTTTTATAACGTGGAAGAAAATAGAAAAAAATAGTGAAATAATGGATTTAGTATTTTGTAACGTTTATTTTAATCAACTATTTTCGACAGTGATATATATATATTTATGTGTGCATACACAAATGCGTTTTTGATTACCTTTATGAAGTGGCCTGGTAGCTGCGTGGTGTCCTCGTTGATCTCCAAACAGA